TTTCAGATGTTGAAAAAATGTATATATACGTTTGGATCGTTTAAGGGTTAATGGAACTTATATGTGCAGTAAAGGTTCTAGATCTGCAATTTCACCTGCTTTGAATGGAGATGTTAATGTACAGCAGTATTCCAGCCTTAAGAGAACAAGTGATTCAAAAAGGATCATCATTGGCTTGGCATCTCTTGTTTTGAACGTTCTCATTATCCATCCTATCATTTTCATCGCAGTTGTGATAGTGGCACTGTTGCGATCTTTGAAGGTGAGATCCTCAGACATTACTACTCCCAGGTCTTTCACATTACTTTTCTGCTCTGTTGTACGATTAGAGTTTGTAGTATACTTAATTCTAGTTTAAACCTCCTCCAGTTTTTCATAATGGAGTAGTTGGAATTTGTGTTCATTGAACATCATATTGCTTTCCGTTGCCCATTGGAAAACTTGGTTTATATCTTCTTGGAGGTTAATCATGTCCTCAATAGATGACGGTCTCATGCAGATCCTAGTATTGTCTGCAAGGCTGACATGGTGCTGTGGTTTACATCTCTGTCTATGTTTGATATAAGGATGAGGAACAGGATAGGGACGAGTACTGTGCCTTGTGGAACATAGCTCTTCACTATGGCAACTTCCGATTTAACTCTGTTTACCACTACTCTTTGTGCTCATTGGTTAGAAAGTTGAAGATCCATCTGCCCACTTTGCCAGTTATCCCTTTACCACACATTTTGTGCGCTATTACACTATGATCGCACTTGTCAAAGGCTTTTTTGGAAAATCTGTGTATATTACATCTGCATTCTGTTTGTCTTCCAGTGTATCCAAGACCATATCACAGTGATCCAGCAGTTTAGAGGGAGGCAGGAGCGACCTGCTCAGAGCCCATGTTGCCCTGGCTTGTGCAGTTTTTGGAAATCCAAGTGGTTTTCAATAATGTTTCTTAGTACTTATTCAAAGGTTTTATGATGTGGGAAGTTAAAGTTATTGGTCTATAGTTCTTAGCTAATGCTTTGCTGCCACCTTTGTGGAGTGGGGCTATATCTGTTCTTTTTAGTGGCTGGAATTTTACCCATATCTGTGCTCCTCCTCCATAGCATACTTAGGGCATGCGAAAAGGGTTTCTTGCAGTTCTTAACCCTTTGAGGGTCGACAGGCCCTCTCCAAAACTCGTTCTCAGGGTCGGCCAAATTTAAAAAAAAAATTATTTTCTCTTATGAAAAGATAGAGAATCTTTTCCCGATCATAAGGACACCAAAAGTTTGAAATTTGATGGAAAACTTACGGAATTACGCTCTCGCGAAGTTAGCGGTCTCGGTGATGTTGGCGCATCGGCGATTTTGCCCACTTTGAGCCCCATTTTCGGCCAATTCCACTGTACTAGTCGACAAAAAAACATGAATATTTCGCTAGAACTCCATTTTTTCTATCGAATGGGTGCAAGAAACCACCCATTTATGAAATTCAACTATCCAGTACATTGGTCAGAATTTAGCAATTTTGCCAATTTCACACAAATTTCAAAAGATGCCAATTTCCAAATAGGGTCCAGAATAAACAAGAAAGACATTCCTGGCACTAAAATGAAAATTTCCTCTGGTCATTAGTCACGTCTCAAGGCCCCTCTTATATTCTTTTGCTTTCCACTTTGAATTTTTATTCTCACAAAAAATATAAGATTTACTGTTATGCAGACTGTTGCATTAATGTAAAAAATGGTATAAATATTATTGGTGCACTTGTGAAAGAATATTAGACTCACCAGTTGACGTTTATTGCACGCTTGGCACGATTTGTTTACTTTTGAAATTTAGTAAAAATCGAACATTTCTGCTACTTTGAACTCAATTTCAAGGTACCTTTCATTGTAAAACCAGTCAAAATCATCTCAATTTCTGTAATATGTCTTCCATTCTATAAAATGAGACCAAGAAAACTAGAATACAACAATAAATACCATACGAAAATACAGTGCAAAGTCGCTGTTTTATTCCAAAAAAATGGTCAAAGTTTTTTTTTTTCTCATTATGCACTGTGTGCTGCAGGATTTTTTTTAGACTGTGCACACTGACCACATAGACCCATTCTTTCATATGAAGGCATACCAGCTTTCTCCCACTAGATTTGAGGGCGCTAGAATTTAGGCATACAGTGGACCCCCGGTTAACGATATTTTTTCACTCCAGAAGTATGTTCAGGTGCCAGTACTGACCGAATTTGTTCCCATAAGAAATATTGTGAAGTAGATTAGTCCATTTCAGACCCCCAAACATACACGTACAAACGCACTTACATAAATACACTTACATAATTGGTCACATTCGGAGGTAATCGTTATGCGGGGGTCCACTGTACTAGTACGTCAAAAACCCTGGGTCATAAGCCGTACTAGTATGTCCGAAACCCTCAAAGGGTTAATGAACACAGAGTTCCACGAGTATGGGTCTGGGGCTGAGTGCATGGGCATGTCATTGGTTTTCTCATAGTCCAGTGGAGTTATGGTAATGCCAGAAATCTGGCATACATTGACGGCGTCTTGAGGCTCATTTAATGAAAAAATTATTTGAATTGTCTATCTTTAGACTGATTACTGGCTCGCTACACAAAGAGTTGTATTGCAATTTCAGTATCTCACTCATTTCTTTGTTGTCATCTGTGTAAGTCCCATCCTGTCTGAGCAAGGGCCCGATACCAGATGTGGTTTTTGCATTGTTTTTTGCACATGGAAAGAATTATTTCAAATTTCTTTCAGTTTCGGTAGTTGCTTTTAGCTCCTTCTGCCTCTCATGGATCCTGTATGAATCCTCTAACTTAAGCTTGATACTTTCCATTTCCTTGGTCAGCCCTTTCTTCCGTGTTTATTGGTTATCCACGTTATGTATGCTGGGAGGCAGTTGAACAGTCTTGGGCCCCTGACACTTATTGTGTTGTCTCTTACCATACTGTTGACACAGGTAACACAAGACTCCAAGTCATGTTCTCGCAAGTGTACTCCTAGGCCATACTTCTTTAGGAGGTTAACTGTCTTGCTGGAAATTCTTGTCTCTGCACAAACTTACTTGTATTGTGGAGTCTTTACTAACTAGAAATTCCCTGATTCTGCTGAGGCTATCTAGACTTCTAATGACCTCTCTTTCTCTCCAACATGCCGCATGCACAGAAGAAATGGTTCCTGCAAGATGTTAGAATGTTAGTAGTGACCCCAGTATACACTTTAGGGGTCCCTGAAATCTTCGGGGATTTTCATTGACTAATATTTATGTACACAAAGCGTTACTGGCTTCTGGCCTAATATTCAAAGGGGGTTGTTACTCAGCAATCTTGGCTGCTAGTTAGCGTTCCCCAAAATACCGTTGGTAGACAAATACTAAATTGAATACAGGAAATTGTCTCACTATACGAGCCTGGTGGAAGAGACCAAATATCCACAATACGTTGGGAAGCCTCTTCTGCTTATACTCTCTGGTGCCCAAGCAGAATATTTTGTAGATAGCGTGGGCTGCTGAACTTGGAGCTCCTTTGAGTTGTTATCCCAACTACTGTTGTTACCAAAAGAGAGAGGCAGGGCTCTGGAAGTCTCTACTTCTCTTTGCTTGTACAAGAAATGCTAGCTGCCTCTATGTGTCTAATCTCACTTCCTAATACTATAACAGAATATTAATGTCTAATGCTACGTTATTAGTTCTAATATTATTTACTAACAATTTAAGCCTACCTAATTCATCATTAAGGTCTACACCTATCAATTTGTATATTAATATAACTATTCCATTAAGACACCTGCTGTTCCTGTTCACCTGTCAGTAAAATAGGTACCAGGGTGTTAGTTGATAGGTGTGGGTCGCATCCTGGGACAAAATTGGCCTAATTTGCCCTAAATGCTCTGTATAACAAGCAGCTTTCTATATAGTAGTATGTCACTGATGTTAGCTAGGCCTGTATACCTTGTACATGTACTTGTAGAAATACTTTACTCCCTATTATTCTTATTTTTACGTATTTCTTTCTTCATTTTCTTACATAGAGGTTTTTTGTTAGTGGGCTGTTAGGGTACTGTGACCGCGTCCCTAAAATATTATGAACTCGACTCTGGAATTTTTTTGGTACAAATAAATTTCCATAATAACTCTTGATAACTCTTACTTGACACATTGAGGAGATAACTCTTGAATGAGTCAACAGTGGGATAACTACAGTATTTTCATCTTTTATTTCTCTGCCATAAATGCTGTGCATGCTATGGGATTTCCATCAAATTGAAACAGCTGTGTATAATACTGTACTTTTAGAAATGAATTGTTTGTGTTATAAATACAATAGGCCTACTTTTATTTCGTTCAACTGTAGTTTGCTAAACTCACAAACTAGTATTTAGTCACTTAGTATTTAGTCAACTTACTCCATAATTTGTAATAATTTAGGGTTAAGAATTAATCTAAGTCTGCCCGAAATGCCTAACCATGCTAGGTGTCCTAGTGGCCCCCTCTGTAATTAGTATTTTATTACATGTAAACCACACAATAACCAAAATCTGTAAACCCCACATTGTAATCCTTATAGAGAATAAACTTGATTGATTGATTTGAAAATTATTCATACACGAACAAGTGTGCATGAATAAGGCTCACCTGTGCACAGATAATGCACACCTGTGCACTAATTTTGCATATTTGTGACACCTTTATACATATACTGTTGTGAGAAATGAATGGCACATTCTTCCATAAGTGTTTACAAATATACAAAATCGCCCAGGATTCCATTGTGTTGTATTTAATTACATCAATTATTTTATCAGAAGTCTGGTTATAGTGTTTTTTGACATAGTATTTAATTCTCTAATTTTCCGTGGAAACTTCTTCACTGTTTTGTTTAATTACATTAATTATCAGAAATTTGTAGTTTTAGTGATTTTTTGTCATATTTAATTCTATATTTGTTCAGTTTTTTATATTCTTTTCTATTATTCTTGAATACTAAAAGTTTTTTTTTTTATATTCCAGACAAATGATGTTAATGGCACCCTGAGTTGGGATCTGCACTTTTGGCTGGGCTCAGAGACTTCCCAGGTGAGTTTAGTAACTCAGCTAATACACATAACTTAAATCAGTAAACCCTTCTTTTAATAAACTTCAGAAATGCACAACGAAATTTGCTGGGTCAGTTGATTTGGAAATAACAGACAAAGTTTGTTGGTTACAGTCATGGCTAAACAGTTTCAACTCTATCCACCACATTTATCGGTACCGGCCACTGTCTCCTCACCCAATGTTCGTTCGTCAATAATTTGTTATTCTCATAATCAATCGGCAACCATTACTGATTAATGACTATTTTTTCAGCAGGAATATTTCAAAACATGTTTGCTTGCTCTGTTTTCAAATTAATACCAGCCATTATGGTTTTAGTAATCCACACTACATGATCAGATCATATATAATAATAACAGTGAAAATAACAATGTTATCTAGCACATCAAAATAGCTCAGGATCACACCCTGAATTCTAATGCTCCTGAATCCGTTTGCGCCTGGAGATCAACAGCAGCAAACCATCTAAAAAAAACAGTAATCCAGCAAAAAGCCGCAGTAAGAATTATAACAATCCACTACTAGGCAAACCCCCCCATCCCCCACTCTTCAAAGACCTAAACTTACTGTACAGAACATCCACACCTACTACTGTGCAACCTACATTTACAGAGCCATAAATTCCAATATTAACCCTGAACTAAAACACTTGATAATTGTGACAGGACCCATACGCACAGTACCAGACAAAAATCTCTGTGACATTCCCCGCGTCCGGCTAAATCCATACAAAAATTCAATGTATGTACATAAAAGGGCCTAAAATCTGGAACTCCCTGCCTGAAAACTCTAGAACTGCAGACTCAACGACCATTTTCGAAACTACCGTTAAAAAAAATCTTATCTCCCTAACACACCCCATCATCAGCTAACTATGTGAAAACCACCTAATCTCTTATTCGTATCATACCTGGAGAGTTTACCTGGAGAGAGTTCCAGGGGGTCAACGCCCCCGGCGGCCCGGTCTGTGACCAGGCCTCCTTAGGTCAGTGTCCCAGGATGCGACCCACACCAGTTGACTAACACCCAAGTACCCATTTTACTGATGGGGAACATAGACAACAGGTGGAAAGAAACACGTCCAATGTTTCTACTCTGGCTGGGAATTGAACCCAGGCCCTCGCCGTGTGAAGCGAGAGCGTTAACCACCAGGCCACCAGAACAAAATAGACTTACTTTCGATATTTGTGATTCCCCCTAATTTACACTTACACTCGCCCAAATGACTGTAAACATAAAATCCATTGCCTAATAAATCTTAAGCTAGTCCTAAGTTTGCCTGAGATACTCTTATTATATGAGCTTTAATAGAAACTGTGTATCATGCCAAGACAAAACCATTCTCATTACTAAATTTACAAATTGTTATATTCATATGTTTTGTACTACTTCACTATTGTAAATCTAATTAATCACTGTCAGTTACCTAACTTTAATATCAGTATGCAATAAGATATATTAAAATGTACTGCTCCATAACCTGTGTCATTATAGAGTAAGAATTAGTATTAGTCTGCCTGAAATGCCTAGGCATGCTAGTGGCCTTCCTTGTAATTAATATTTCATAATACATAAACCACACATTGTAAGCTTTAAAACAAATAAATATTTCAATTTCAATTTCATTCTTTGAAGGAAAAGGCACTATCAAAATAAGCCTCATGTCGCATGACTTTACATCTTAGGATGAAGCGGGTGCAGTGGCCATTAAGACGGTGGAGCTGGACGACCATCTGGGAGGAGTACCTGTCCAACACAGAGAAGTGGAGGGTCATGAGTCGTCACTCTTCCTCTCCAGGTGAGTTGCATCACTACCTGAGTGGAACACCTCTCCATCTTGTTGATTTAGGAACTTGTCTCTCTTAAGATAAGATAAGATTTCGTTCGGATTTTTAACCCCGGAGGGTTAGCCACCCAGGATAACCCAAGAAAGTCAGTGCGTCATCGAGGACTGTCTAACTTATTTCCATTGGGGTCCTTAATCTTGTCCCCCAGGATGCGACCCACACCAGTCGACTAACACCCAGGTACCTATTTGCTGCTAGGTGAACAGGACAACAGGTGTAAGGAAACGTGTCGAAATGTTTCCACCCACCGGGAATCGAACCCGGGCCCTCCGTGTGTGAAGCGGGAGCTTTAGCCACCAGGCTACCGGGCCCTCTTGTGCTTACTGGATACAGCTTTGAGCCTCTGCCAGATAATTGTAATTTGTTCATTAAAGTTATGATAAATATGGTTAAAAAAATTCTTGATTAACACTATCTCGGTTAAAAAAAAGTAAGTGAAATATTTGCATTTATAAAAGCAAATGGGTTTAATGATCTCATGCAAATTTAGTTCTTCACATAAATATTTCATACAATTTTTTACCTGTTGAGGTCTTGTTTTATTTGTTTTAGGTTGAGATATTTAAACTTCTTGAGTTATGCTATAACTGAATGTTTTATATCTTAAATTTGTAGTCTTAAGACTTGTGCACTATTGTATATCACTGATAGACTGACTCACTTGATTATTTTACACTAGTCTTGGGTTGGGCTTGAGAAGAGTTCAATTAAGTGGAGTTGTGAATTATGACACTTCAGTATATGTACATCTTTTTCTAACTGCATATTGCATGTATTTTTCCAGTAATGATAATAACATGGTATATTGTGGTATCAATCTGATTATTAAACTATAAAACCAACAGTAATTTTCTTTCTTTCTGGTGGATCACGGTCTGATCAATCAGGCTGTTAATGCTGGCCGCATGCAGATTGATGTACAAACCACAGCTGGTCAGGTACTGACTTTAGGTGTCTGTCCACTACCTTCTTGAAGACAGCCAGGGGTCTATTGGCACATATTATATTGTCTCTTAGTGCACACGTGGCACCCTTGCTTGTCATTGGGGGGATGTTGCATCTCCTGCCGAGTCTTTTGCTTTCATGGGGAGTGATTTTTCATAAGCAAGTTTGGTGCCAATCCCTCTAGGATGTATCTTTCTTGCCTCCATTCCAGGGAATACAAATCAAGGGTCTTCAACCGTTCCCAGTAATTTAGGTGCTTGATCGCACTTATGTGTGCCTTGAAAGTTCTTTGTACACTCTCCAGGTTAGCAGTTTTGCCTGCCTTGAAGGAGACAGTTACTTGTACAGAAGAATTCCAGCCTAGAGAGAACAAGCGATTTGAAGAGAATCATCATGGGCTTGGTGTCCCTAGTTTTGAAGGTTCTCATTATCCATCCTATCATTTTTCTAGCAGATGCCGTAGATACATTGTTGTGGTCTTTGAAGGTGAGATCCTCTGACATTATCACTCCCAGATCCTTCACATTACTGTTTTGCTCTATAGTATGGTTAGAATTTGTTGTATATCCTGATACAGTTTTAATTGCCTGAAGTTTTCCATATCTGAGTAGTTCAAATTTCTCTTCGTTGAACTTCATATTGTTTTGAGTGGCGCATTTGACGATTTGGTTGATGTCCACTTGGAGTCTTGCAGTGTCTTTGATGGGGGACACTATCATCAATATATAAAAATTATGGATATGGTATGATTCTTCAATTTGACTGCTCATACACAGGTTCAAGAAAGGTGTGAGGTACCTGAAAGGAGGTGTGGCCTCCGGGTTCCACCACGTTGACCCAGATGCACCATACCCAGCACGTCTCTTCCATGTTAAGGGCCGCAGGAATGTCCGTATCAGACAGGTATGTTTCCTAATGGTCTTTTTTTTTTTAACATGGATCAATTTTATGATATAAGAGCTGTTATCCTACCTCAGTTCGTTTCAAAGCCTATCACTATCTAAGGTATACTACCACCCCTTGGGATGCTACCCACAAAAGTCAACTAGCACCTACTGACTGCTAGGTGAATAGAGACAGCAGGTGTAAACAAACATGCCTGACATTTCCACCTGTGCCAGGGATTGAACCATGGACACTCAGTATGTGAGCTGAGGATGCTACCAACCAAGCCATGGGACACTGATTTGTGTCCTTCAAGTATACAGCGGTACCCTGAGTTTCGGACGTGATTCATTCTAGAAGGCTGTTTGAGTGCTGTTACCGAACAAATTTATTCCCATAAGGAATAATGTAAATTAGATTAGTCTGTTTCAGACTCCCAAAAATATACTTACAAAAGCACTTACAATAATACACTTACATAATTGTTCGAGTTGGGAGTACAGTGGACCCCCGGTTAACGATATTTTTTCACTCCAGAAGTATGTTCAGGTGCCAGTGCTGACCGAATTTGTTCCCATAAGGAATATTGTGAAGTAGATTAGTCCATTTCAAACCCCCAAACATACACGTACAAACGCACTTACATAAATACACTTACATAATTGGTCGCATTCGGAGGTGATCGTTATGCGGGGGTCCACTGTAGTATGAAACTTGGGGTACCACTGTATTTGGTTTTTCTCAAAAGTGTATATGAAGTTCAACAAAACTTGATGAAGAATCTTACCTTAGTGTGAGACGGCCTGTGTGTTAAAAAAAAAATAGTACGTATATTGTATAGTGCAATAAGATCACAGTAAACAGGTGATTTCGGAATATGCAAAACAACCACTCTGAATAAATAGAGAAATTCCAAGCGCTTTCATGATTACTCACATTATCATAGTTCCTTGATAATGTGAGTAGTCATGAAAGCGCTTGGAATTTCTCTATTTTTTCAGAGTGGTTGTTTTGCAGATTGTATAGTGATGACTAAAATAAATTAGGACAAAGTTCAATGATGCACTTTTAGTATTATTACAAGTCCATATACCTGTATTTCAGTATTTAGTATTACATGTTAGAATAAACAATAAAGGCTGGCAAAGTAAGAACTGGCTGTAATTGTGCTATATCGGATGTTATTGCAGGTTGAAGCTAATGTAAGCTCCATGAATAAAGGTGACTGCTTCATCTTGGATTGTGGGTCCACTGTGTATACTTACATGGGGTCCAGCAGCAGGAGGATGGAACGACTCAAGGCCATCCAGGCTGCAAATGCTGTTCGTGATGATGATCATGCTGGGAAAGCAAAAGTTGTTATTATTGGTGAGTTAATTCACTGTTTCTGGGCTTCAGGATTTCTGCTATCAGAACATAATTATTTTACTTTATATTCACTACTCAGTGGTACAGGTTAAACCTCACTAATCCGGCAAGCATGGGACCAGACAGGTACCAGAGTAGCAGAGATTTCAAACCAGTGAATGCCAGACCAGTGAGGTTCATCCTGTACTCTATTTTGAAGAATTACTGAATGACTCTCTCAGTTCCAATAGCAATAGTTCTTATTTGATGAGTACTTATTTGTAAGTAATTTTTTGCTATACAGTGGAACCTTGGTTGTCGACTGCCACTTCATTGTTTGTCAAACAAATTGGTTTTCGAGAAAAAAATGTCCTGGTTTTTGTACATTCTCTTGGTTGTCGGCCGACAATGCGAAAGGCTTGGGTCATGTGCTTACAGAATGCACACTGGACAATGCCAGGACACAAGCCAATGAAAGACAGGCTCACTCTGTTATTGTGTGGTAATGCAAGCAGGGACTTGAAATTGAAGCCCTTGTTTATCATTCTGAAAATCTACAAGTTTTTAAGAACAACAACATTATGAAAAACACATTGGCTGTAATTTGGAGGGCTGACACGAAAACTTGGGTTTCAAGACAGTTTTTTATTGAGTGGGTTCATGAGGTCTGCACCCACTGTCAAAAAGTACCTCATTACAAAACAGTTGCCCTTTAACTTATGGATAATGCTCCTGCTCACCTTCCAAGCTTGGAACACAAGTTGCTGGAGGAGTTCAGTTTTATAACTGAAGTTCTAGCCACTCCTCTCATCCAGCCCATGGACCAACAGGTCATTTCTTTCTGAAATGAAGGTGCTTTGCAATCACTTCAGAAACAAATTTAACCCTTAGGGACTTCAGGGAGGACCATTTCAATATCCTCGCCTGCTTGAGGCTTATAGACAAAATCTGGGGAATGTGTCTTCCAGGACCATGCAGTCACCATGTAAGAAATTGTGGCTTGACTTTGTGGCACCCAGGGATTTTGAAGACTTGGAAGATGATCCTGGCCTGGCCTGGAGGTGACTGAAGATGATGTGGAGGAGTTGGTGGAGGAGCATTGAACTGAACTCACCACAGAAGAACTTGTAGACCTTCAGAAGGAGCAGCAACAGATTGTAGTGAGGGAGCTGTCATCAGAGGAAGAGGAAGGAAGGGATATGTTCCTGTTGCACTTGTCAAGGAAATGTGTGCTAAATGGCACGAAGTACAGGAGTTTGCTGAAAAATTCCATCCAGACAAAGCAGTGGCCATCTATCTCTAACATGTAGAATGACAGTGTAATGTCTCAATTTAGACAAGTGTTAAAATAGAGCCTGAAACAAACCTCGCTGGACAGGTTTTTAGTGAGAAAAAGAACCAGTGAGCCAGAAGGTGTTAGTGGTGAAAAGAGACAAAGAAGAGAAACAACACCAGGACCTTTGCCTGACATATTAACCCTTAAACTGTCCAAACGTAGATCTGCGTTGACATGCGTAGTGCTCTGAATGTAGATCTGCGTCCAGTTTTACATGCTTTCAAATGGAGAAAATAAAGGTCGGAGTGCTACGCACGTCAACGTACATCTATGTTTGGACAGTTTAAGGGTTAATAAGTGACTCATCTTCCAAGCAATAACATACCCTCTCCTCTCCTCCACCTCTTGCTTTCAGTATGCCATTAATTCTCCTCTGACAGGTAAAAGGCAGTTAAATTTTCATTTACTGTACAGTATTTCAGTTAAAGTTTCTTTTAGTATTCATTTTTACAGTTTTATGTAGTAGTTAGTATCTTTTTAATAAAAGTCGCAGTAAGAATTATCATGCAATCCAATGTTAGACACCACATCCCCCCACTCTTCAAAAACATAAACTTACTGTACAGAACATTCACACCTACTACTGTGCAACCTACATTTACAGAACCATAAATTCTAATACAGTAGGGCCCCGCTTTATGGCGTTTTGCTTTATGGGCTTCCACTAATATGAACATTTCAAATTATGACCAAAATTCGCTATACGGCTCCCCCCCACCTGGCTTTCTAATACGGTCACTGCGCCCCCATCGGGTTTGTTTATATTCTCTGTGAGCACTGTGTCTCTCCATTATGTCTGGAATCTTTCCAAAATTTCAAGTGTTTTTAAAAGTTATTTCATATTTTATATATACAGTGGACCCCTGGTATTCGATGTTAATCCGTTCCTGAGAGCTCATCAGATACCAAAAATATCAAAAACCGAATCAATTTTCCCCATAAAAAATAATGGAAATCAAATTAATCCGTGCAAGACACCCAAAAGTATAAAAAAACAAATTTTACCACATGAAATATTAAGTTTAATGCAATAGAATAATTACAATAACAATAACAATAGAATAATAACAATAGAATAATTGACACTTACCTTTAATGAAGATCTGGTGATGATTGATGGGATGGGAGGAGGGGAGAGTGTTGAAGTTGTTAATGTTTAGAAGGGGAATCCCCTTCCATTAGGACTTGAGGTAGCAAGTCCTTTTCCGGGGTTACTTCCCTTCTTCTTTTAATGCCACTAGGACCAGCTTGAGAGTCACTGGACCTCTGTCACAGAACAAATCTGTCCATAGAGCTCTGTACCTCCCGTTCCTTTACGATTTGTCTAAAATGGGCCACAACATTGTCATTGTAATAGTCACCAGCACGGCTTGCAATAGCTGTGTCAGGGTGCTTTTCATCCATAAAGGTTTGCAGTTCAACCCACTTTGCACACCTTTCCTTAATTTTTGAAGTAGCCACAATGGATTCCACAACTGGCATAGGCTTCTCAGGGTTAGCCCCAAACCCTTCAAAATCTTTCTTAATTTCCATACTAATTCTCACCCTTTTTACCACAGGGTTGGCAGTAGAAGCTTTCTTGGGGCCCATGGTGACTTATTTTACAGAAACAAATACCAAAAACAGTGATAATATGGAATGTACCGAATGTATCTTTAGATGCGTGCACACTGCCTGGCTTGTAAACACTGGCACACACGGGGCAGTTCAGGCCACACGTGGACACGTCTCGCATGAATCGCATCGAATACTGGGTTTTCAATCGGATACTGAGGCGAAATTTTTGTGTTAAAATGCATCGAATACCGGATTTATCGAATACCGATGGCATCGAATACCAGGGGTCCACTGTACTCTGATAATTATACTTACGTATACCTGTACCTAAATATACTTACACACCGTGTTGGTGTGCAAGTAGACATTAAAATCAGTAAGAGTGTCTTATGTCTCGAGATACCGTATTTTCAAATCAAATTAAATCAAATCAAATCAAAGTTTATTCTCTATAAGGATTACAATGCAGGGTTTACAGATTTTTGGTTATTGTGTGGTTTACATGTAATAAAATACTAATTACGTACAGAGGGGGCCACTAGTACACCTAGCAAGGCTAGGCATTTTGGGCAAACTTAGATTAATTCTTAACCCTAAATTATTACAAATTGTGGAGTAAGTTGACTAAATACTAAGTGACTAAATACTAGTTTGTGAGTTTAGCAATGTGAATGCTTTTGTTTTGGCACAATACATAGTTTCTATATTGGAGTATCACAGGCAAACTTGTGACTAGTTAGGAATCATTATTTTAAGATTAAGATACATATTTCTGTGCTTATAGTCAAATGGGTGAATGAGTGAGTGTAAGTGTAACCACCAGGTGGTTTTTATGTAGTTAGTTGACGGGGCGTATCAGGGAGATAAGATGTTTTCTAATGGTAGTTTTGAAGGTGATGAATGTGTCTGCAGTTCTAGAGTTTTCAGGTAGGGTGTTCCAGATTTTAGGGCCTTTGACATACATTGAATTTTTGTATAGATTTAGTCGGACAAGGGGAATGTCGTAGAGATGTTTGTGTCTGGTGTTATGCTTGTGGGTCCTGTCACAACTATCAAGAAAGCATTTTAGGTCAGGGTTAATATTGGAATTTAAGGTCTTGTATATGTAGATTGCACAGTAGTAAGTGTGGATGTTCTGAACAGGGAGTAAGTTTAGATCTATGAAGAGTATGGGGGTGTGTTGCCAGGGATGGGATTTAGTGATTATTCTTACTGCAGCTTTTTGTTGAGTTATTATTGGCTTTAGGTGTATTGCTGCAGTTGATCCCCAAGCACAAATAGCATAGGTGAGGTATGGATAAATGAGTGAATGGTGTAGTGTGAGAAGGGCATTTTGTGGCACATAGTATCATATCTTGGAGAGGATCCCAACTGTTTTGGATACTTTTTTTGATGTGTTGGATATGGGTGCTGAAATTCAGGTTGTTGTAGAGGTATAGGCTTAGGAATTTGCCCTCATTATGTCTGGCAATTAGAGTGCTGTCACTCTTAATGTTTAGTTGTGCAGCACCTGCTCTGCTACCAAACATAATATAGTAGGTTTTGTCAGTGTTAAGTGTAAGTTTATTGGCTGTCATCCAAGTTGATATTTTGAGCAGCTCCTCATTAACAATGGTGTTGAGGGTGGCAAGATTAGGGTGAGAGATGACATAAGTCGTGTCGTCAGCAAAGAGAATGGGTTTCAGGTGTTGGGATACGTTTGGAATATCATTGATGTAAATGAGGAAGAGCAGGGGTCCAAGGACACTTCTCTGTGGAACTCCAGTATCAAGTGGCCGTGTTGATGATGCTCTGTCTTTAATGGTGACATACTGATACCTGCCAATTTGGATTCAGGAAAAATAAAAGCACTAACGATGCAATTATAAAAATGCTAGATCTGCTTTACACAGCATTGGAAAATAAGGAATATCCACTAGGAATTTTTATTGACCTAAGAAAAGCTTTTGACACAGTAGACCACGGCATCCTACTCCACAAACTTGACCATTATGGTATAAGAGGCCATGCGCTTGCATATTTCAAATCTTACCTTACTAATAGGTATCAGTATGTCACCATTAAAGACACAGCATCAACAACACAGCCACTTGATACTGGAGTTCCGCAGGGAAGTGTCCTTGGTCCC